TTCGACAAAATAGCATCATCGGAAAGGACTTTCGACGACGAAGAAGAAGGCACAAGCTCTGGGTCTTTCTTTGGGTTTTCTCGAACAGCGATTCGACAAAATAGCATCATCGGAAAGGACTTCCAGCGATGAAGAAGAAGGCACGAGCTTTGGTACAAGATTCAGAGTTTGCAGAGTATAATCTAAGGACTTCCTCCTTGATTCGAGTGTCGCAAACAGATCTGGGTGAGAAAGGAAGAACCAGATCTGGGTTTGCAGAAGAAAGGGAAAGGAAAGGTGAAGGAGAGAGTGTGAAAGGGGAAGAAGAAATTTTTTTTTGTTTGACGTGGATGCAAAAAAAAAATTATTATTATTGTTAAATTAAATAAAAATGCCAACTCATAAAAAAAAATAGTTAACTATGTTTTTTTTTCCATGTCATTGATTAAGAAAAAAAGAAAATTGATTTGTTGGCATTTTAACGTTACACATGTCATTTAACTGACGGAAGGACCATTTTGGTACAAAAATGAAAGTCTAAGGATAATTTTGATACTTTTTAAAGGTGAAGGACAATTTTGGTACCAAAGTGAAAAGTTGAGGGACCAAAATGGTACTTAAACCTATCCTTTTTGTGTAATCCCATAACCCAAAATACAACATAATTGAGCTCTAGGCTCTAACTTGTTATGTTCATGAGGTGGAAGAAGAACAAAACATGCACAATCAAAAACCTTAAGAAGATTATAGGCAAGTAGAATACCATGTAAATGCTCGTATGGAGATTGGTTATTAAGAATTGATGATGGAATGTGATTAATAAGATAAATAGCTATAAGAGCAGCTTCACCCCAAAATCGCACTTGACAAAAAGATGAAATGAGTAGAGCATGAATAGAATCAAGGATGTGTCTGTGTTCGCATTCGACTCACCCATTTTGTTCAGAAGTTTGAGGACAAGATTGTTGTGTTAGTGTACCCTATTCCTTCAGAAAGAATTGAAGTTTAGTATCAAGATATTCAGTAGCATTGTCAATTCTCAAAACCTTGATAAGTTTAGGGAACTAAGTTTTGACCATGGTAGCAAAATCAATATAAATTTGTGATAATTTAGAGCGATTTTTCATAAGGTATATCCATGTAAAATGAGTATGATCATCAATAAATAATATGAAGTACTTGGAACCCCCCATGGTGGGTGTAGGAGATGGACCCCAACCATTAGAATGCACGAGATCAAAAGGAGTAGTAGAATGAGAATGACTACTCGAAAAAGATAAAGCTAGTTGCTTTGCAGATTGCCATGACACACAATGTAAAGATTGATTCGGAATTGATCCTAATAAACCACGAGAGATAAATGAACGAAGTTTACCGATTGAGGTATGTCCGAGCCATGAGTGTCACAAATGGAGAGAAGAAACATTAGTAGCAACACAGGCTTGCAAAATTTGTTGGTATGGAATTTGTAAAGACCTTAATTCAATGGCACAAAGCAAGGTTTAGATGAATTGATTATTTGGAAATGATGGTGTATCCATTTTATTATTAGGAATATGCAGATAGTTGAGCTCAAACAAACGCCCCACCTTGCAACCAATTCCAAGAAGTTGTCCTATATGTGGGTCCTGCACATAACAACCATAAACAGACAATGTTACTTCAAGACCAAGATCACATAATTGACCGATAGATAAAAGATTATAACTAAGTTCCGAAACTAAGAGGGTATTTGGTAAAGTCAATGACTTTGTAGAAATATTGCCAATGTGACTAACATTCATAAGGGAACCATTAGCAGAATAAATATCAGAAAAGGAATTAGTTGGTGATATTGAAGAGAAATGAGCAGTAATGGAAGACATATGGTTATAACAACCAGAATCAAAATACTAAGGTTTGGTACCTAGAGCAGTAGATAAGGCAATAGGAGCATTAAAAAGATTTAATATCACCTGTTTTAGGAATTTAAGGCTGACCTTAAGTTGATTTATCACTTCTTCGGCAACCATAGCTGTAACAAGATGAGTTACAGTCCTTTCAAAACTTGCCATAGAATCAGTAAAATTCATAATATTGAAAAACTCTAAAAAAAATATGAAGAAATAGATGCCAAGATCAAAATAACAAACCTACATAATACCTCAGAAAGGGTTTAAGATAGGCTTAATTCAATTTTTAGTCTATTAACTATCACCTTGATTTCATTTTAGTCTAGAAACTATGTTTTATTTCTAAGTGGTCTATTAACTTTTAGATTCATTTCAATTTCATCTACCTGGTTATCTTTGACGGAAAACTTACTATTCTGTTAGAGAACAGTTAGTCCTCTAACTATATTTATTTTGATCTTTTAGTCCTTAAATTTATATTTACTATAAAAATAACTTTTATACTTAAAATTATTATTTCTAGGCTTTGATATCGAATTTTTAATTCTTCTTAGGGTATTTTCATTAATTGTTTCTATTTTTAAAATATTATTAGTTATTCATTAGTTAGTAGTAGTCTGAATTAAGTTTTAAAAACTCGAATAAAAATCTGGTATCAGAGCCTAAAAATAATAATTTTAAGTATAAAAGCTGTTTTTACAGCAAATATAAATTTGAGGACTAAAAGATCAAAATAAATATAGTTAGAGGACTAACTGTTCTCTAACAGAATAGTAAGTTTTCCGTCAAGTAGACGAAATTGAAATGAATCCGAAAGTTAATAGACCACTTAGAAATAAAATATAGTTTCTAGACTAAAATGAAATCAAGGTTATAGTTAATAGACTAAAAATTGAATTAACCCGTTTAAGATACAAGGATAAGCAATCCAATATGTAGAAGAAAAGATCTCAACGACAAAGTTTCAGATCTGGAATGGAATTAAAAATCCAACTCCAAAAACCAAACAACAATAATGAGAGAAAAGAACCAGGAGTTTATAGCTTTGATACCATGTTAGAAACAAAAAAGAAGAAGAATAATTTGAAGAAAAGTTTATTGATTTCTTGAATAATACTGTATGTACAATGACCTATATATAAGTGTTTACAAAGAGAATATTTTAAAATATAAAGTATACAAAAAGAATATTTTAAAATATAAAATATTTACAATAATTCTAAATATAATTGTGTTCGCATCTTAACATAATCAAAATAATACATATTAGGTACAGTTTATATTGTAGCTTGTGGATAAAATTTTTCTTCTTTAATACGTTGATCAAAGACACTGATGTTATGTTAATCTTAAGCATAAACATGCAGCTTGCCAAATTTCTTTCTGACAACTTTTAACAATTTTGTATTCTTTGCAATGTTTCTCAGGTTGTGACCTTCTGGGAGGGGAGATTGTTGATATGAAGAACTGCACTTTCTACACTGGCAAATGGGAAACAATGTATGACCATTTTTTCTTTCTTTTATATTTGATCATTAAGCCTCTTTGCACGACATCGTTAGCAAACAGCCTTGCCTTATTGAGCTTAGTTTATTCTTTCCATAGAGGTTGAGAACATTGGAAACAATCCACTTCACCCATTTAATCAGATTAAAAACATTTTAACAGGCCAGAGGATGATATACGGTACTGGACAAAGTTTCCATCTTTTGCACCACTCTTGGTAATGAGTTGGAGCCAAGAACTTCAACTTTTCATGCAAACCTATGCTCACTTGCTTGCTTTATTCTGTTTAGAGTAAAGTGGAAGCTGATGGTGGGAAATCTTAGGACCTGAGTACCTATCCACACATTTTTATGGTAATTTGATCTTGTTATTTCCAGAGTTGATAAAAGAAATTACTTTAAGGTTAACTTTGTATTTCTGTGATTTTCTGCCAGAAATGGAAAGAGCAATGGTTTGTAAATGTTGGAATAGACTGTAGGTATAGCAGGGTTTTGCTATGTCTGCTTCTCTTGCAGTGATGGCTCCATTAATGGCTTTTACTATGACCCTAATAGCAGTTATATATATTTCATCGTGGACCTTGACGTTCTTGAAATTACTTTGATTATTCAAAATTTCAAACTCCCTTCTCAGCAAAATGAGGAACACTCATAAGGGGAGAAGCTCAATACATTGTCTAAAGACTCTAAACAACAGTATAACAAAACTGGAGACAACTATATAGAGCAAAACACAAATAAAATACAAAAGTTGCAAGATTCATCTACCTCCTGAAAGTAGGGATTCCGCAATTGAAGAGGAATGCATGTATGCCTTATCCGGATAGGGAAAATAGGACGTGGCAAAGTCATCAAAAACTTCATGATGGGCGAAAGTTAGGCCACCGGCAGTCAGGCCTAGTGCTGATAAGTCTGGTAAAGGAACATCCCCTTCTAAGTACTGGACCACTTGGCGCATGCTCGGCCTGGCTCTGGGGTCTGAATGCGAACAGAGCAACCCCAGCTTCAGTACCAACTCCACTTCCTTTGCTACAAAATCCGTCCCTAATTTTGGATCTCTAACCTCAAGAATCTCCCCTCTTCGCCAAAATGAAAACACCAGATCAACCAGAATCAAATCCTCTGTTTCAGCTCTCAGTTCAATCGGCCTTCTTCCGCAGGCAACTTCGAGCAAAAATGCACCGAAAGCAAACACATCAGTGCTGGGTGCGGCCTTCCTTGTTCGGGTGTGCTCTGGCGCTAGGTACCCCACAGTACCCGCCACATGTGTTGTCTGTGGATCCGCTCCATGATCATACAATCTCGCCAGCCCGAAATCTCCTAATCTTCCGTTCAATTCACTGTCTAAGAGAACATTGCTGGCTTTTACATCTCTATGAATCACAACTTGTTCCCATTCTTCGTGCAAATAAAATAGCCCCGAAGCTACGCCTTTGATGACCTTATACCTGTGTGTCCAATTCAGGTTGACGTTCGGCTGGCCATAGAGGTACTTGTCCAGACTTCCATTTGGCATGTAGTCATAGACCAAGAGCAACTCCTTTTTCCTCCGGCAATACCCAAGGAGTTGTACCAAATTCCGGTGACGGAGACGACCGATACTAACAATTTCCGCAACGAATTCCTTCATCCCCTGTCTTGATTCATGAGAGACTATTTTAACCGCAATCTCCAATTTGGAGGTGGGTAATACTCCTCTATAAACCCTTCCAAACCCACCGGAACCCAGTAACTGTTTGTCCTTGAACCCATTTGTGGCCACATACAGATCTTTGTACTTGAATCTTTGGGGTCCGTATTCGAGTTCCCAATCTTCAGCTACATCTGCAAATTTCCTCTTCCTCTTTATGAAATAAATAACCCCTGACCCTGCTGCGAAAACTAGAGTTAGAGAAATCAGAGGCAATCCAATTGTTAAAAACTTTGATGTTTGCTTCGGTCCTCTGTGAGGAAGCTTAGGTAGTTGGGAAATATCGAGCTCTTCTGCTTGGCTGTTAATCATAAAACTCCAACCCAGAACACAATGAGATGCAGCGGACGAACCAGTTGACGATGAGAAACCGACGTATACTGTATCGTTGACGATCGGTGACAGATCCTTGGACAGAGACAAAAGTGGGAGTTTGGGTTTAGGAACATTAATTGGAGCCAAGGTGACATTCATTCTCTGATCTAGACTATTGTATTCTACCCAAACCTGCATTGGCCGTCCGCTGATTAGTGTCAGGTTTGTAAATTGGCTGGTACCGTCCACAAAGTACCCAGCTCCACGGGACACCTCAGACGTTAACCCATTAACATCAATTCCGACGTGGTTGTCATTTGTCTCCTTGTACTCGAAATTGTTTATCGTATCGAATTCCACAGCAACTACACGATTGGTGTCATTTCCATTATTGCTCTCGTTGAATAGGCCGAGGTATCGCATCGCCATAGCATCCGGGCGGCCTCTGCTTGGTGAAATTACAAAAGCCATGCCGTGACCGCCGAGGGTGGGGTATTGCGGGAGTATTGCGAAGACGAAGGTGGTCGTGAAGGAGAAAGCGGTGCCGTTTGTGGAGTTCTTGAGCTTAACTGGGGAGGAATAGAAAGCGTGACCCTGTTGCTGCCGTGTATTATTGGTAAGCTTCAAGAGTCCATTGGAAGTGACCTCTGCTAGACCATCGAGGCTCAAATTCGCCGACCGAAACCCATTATAGGTGAAATTAACATCTCCGGCCACTGAGTTCACCAGGAGACTCAGCGCAGCGGCGAGCCTGTAAAACATGGCCAGTTATTTTTCGTTTATCTACCCTGGGGGATGCTTTACGTAGCATTTAAAAAGGTTAGATGAAGTTATGTGTATAGCCACTATGCTATACTTAATGGTATTTTCTAATCATCAGCCATCCACGTGGAATCATAAGATCTGACCATTTAATAAATTTATTTTGAATTTTTTTAATTTATATTATAAGAATATAGGTTAAAGGTATTTTTTATTATAAATATATATTAAAAATA